TTTCGGACTATGAAATATAAACAACTCAAGACTAAAAAGTGAGTTAGGCTACTAGTCTAGCGGCCTCAATTATACTATAGTCTTAACAGAATTAACTATATATTTTTCAATTAATAAAACAGAAGGCCCTTTGTTTAAATTTGATGTCGTCATAACTGAAACGGGAATGTCTTCAGAGGAAAACAGGCGTCTTTTCATAAATACATTAAGAACATTCTAATACTTCTAGGTATAATCACGGAATTATCACTGCAAATGTATTTCTCGATCACTGGCTTGTGAAACAAACCATTTCTTAATTATTATTGCTTAGTATCATCAAATCACATAGGTTTTCTACAAAAAATGTTATTTCCTAGCGACCTATTAAAATAGCAGACGTATAAGGGAGTTTATCGCGCCGTGAAGCCATTAAAACGTGTTGTCTCTTTCGAGAACGCTTCTTATATTATATGCGGAAAAAGGACAAAACCTATTTTTTATTGTGCAAATTTTACGTCACAATCACAATTAAAACGAAGTTTTATACGCATAACGATTGGATTAACTTAAAGATCTCCGTATAGTTAATATATTTATAGCAAATATTTAAACAGGTATCTTTAACCCATATTGCATTTAAGGTATGTTAAAATCCAAACCATCGTTAAATTTAAAATATTTTCTATGACCACGAAACAGTCAAGTACATTGCTTAAATTAAACGTGTCAAGCATGAAAGATAAATATTTAGACCGTCAGACTAATACGACATAACATAATCGTAAGGCGAATAGAAGGGAGCATTTTGTATCCGTTTATCATTTTGCTAATTTAGACACTAATTGAGAAAAAAGTGTTAAATAAGCTGTGACGAAGAATTATTAGATTTGGGTAGTACGTTAATAATCATATATTATCACTCATTAACAATTTTTTTTTTTTGTATGGGACAAACTCCTTTCACGATATTTTTCTTTCCAAGTTTTCCCTTGGACTTTCCATTATATATATACTTTTATCAGTTTACAGCGTAAAATATATATTTCTGAATTTGATGTTTTGCAACAACCGTGGTGGTCACAAGGACCAACTGAACTAACATATTTTAGTTTCAAACCGTTAAGCATTTAAGTATAAAAATGATGTTAGATTTATTGGTTCTCCTCTCAATCTAGCGTCGAAGGCTGACACAGAGATGATGCGGCGCCAGCACAACTGAGTACTAATTATTATAGGCGATAGACGGTGTTCGACGTCACCTGTCGAAAAACGCTAGTGTGTGAGCGCCTATTCTGTGCTCCTAGAGTTAAGTACGAAAGCAAACTACAACATGCCCCATTTTAGTGATATTTATGCATGAATAGCAGAAATCACTTTATACGAGAAATTAAGTGAATACAAATCGCTGTTAACAGCAATATTCTAGAACTTTATCAATCGTGTTTTAGGCACTATTGTAATTATCAATGACGACATCGATGATGCCTGTACCCCTTGGTTTCGTAATCTAATTAACATTTTAAATCAGTGTCATTATTGCTCGGTGATATTGGATTCTTAACGATTGTAATGTACGCATGGGTATTTAATTATACACATCTACACTTATTTATATATCACATAACACAAAGCGTAGTAACGCACAAGGCCGTCGTTTATTTCATCTGCGCGAGCTAATTTGTACTTAGTTGTAAGTGCGCAGAATCATCAAGAGTTAGAGATTTGAAACAAACAATTCATAGTTTTGCACTAAACCGAAAACAGATTTAATAAGATTGTTTTATGTGAGAAACTAACGTTGAGTTTACTTGATGGCAGGTGAAACTAAGGCCATATTATTCCTAAACTTGATGTATATTCGACCTGTTTGACTTTAGACTTCGGAAATCCACGGACTAGAAAAGAAATGCAGATTTACTGCTACGCAACTTTTCCATTAGAGATTGGTGGTGAGTGATCCGAACGGTTTTTCGATATTCACCTCCCAGTTACTATTCAGATAAGTCCAATATCTTTCAGAAAGATTATACATTGATTTTTAAAAACAAGTTTAGCCCGGTGGGAATCAAACCCATGATCCGTTGATTATTGGCCATACACGATTTACTACATGACATATGCCAACTGTCAATATGAATGGGAAATTTGTGACGTCACACTTCGCGTGGGCAGCTAATGGTAACTCAATATAGATGAAGATTCTTCGCACTTACTTGATATGTTCAAAATTGTAAGAACACAACATTTTAGCAATTGAACTGGTTCTCGACGTTTTCTCTTCACGAGTGAATGATATTGGTGATTTGCAAAATGGCCGCGAAACCACTCATCCTATATTTTCGAAAAGGGGTTGCTTATCTGACAGGTACTTGAACAGTTCTAAAGAAGATTTCCATCTTCTTTCAACAGCATTTAAAGATGTCGTTAGTTGAATTATGTATAAAAAACTCGCGAATAGAACATTCAGTGATCTGTGTTTCGCAAAGCAAAAGAGACGATTTGTGGATTTTCGGAGCTATAAAGCAACTTGTATACAATATACAACGATATAATTTTTTTGTAAAAGAGACGTTTATAATTCTTGTTCTTTCACAACCTGGGTTATACCAAACGAAGACTGTACGTGACGCTCGAGGACGTCGAAGCGTCTGTCTGTCGCTAGAGGTAAAGAAACAAGAATGATCCTTCAAGCCGGACACAGCGTAGATTAACGTTCGTATCATATTTCCGAGATGAACCTATCAGAATTCACAACCGATAATTTTCGTCTGGGGGCATGGATATAAGTACAGTGTGACTTATTGAAACTCTTTTTGTAAGTCTTAATTAGATTCAGGACAAATGCTACGGTAGTTTTTAACAGACAGAAAGGTCGACAATGTTTCGCTTGGTATAACCGCATTAACAACTAGTTTATTATATATATATATTAATGCTATTACACCGATTCACATTCATTTACAAGAAAACAATAAATCCTTTAGTTGATCTAGTCCAATTGATTAGTAAAATAAGGTAGTAACTACTTAAGCCAACGTCACATTTAAGATAAGGACAAACTTTTCCAATTATAATAAAAAATAAATCATCGACAAAAGTAATCTCGAGTAATTTTTAAATAATCTTATACCCAGTTACAGTGACGTTAACTTAACTTCAAGTGTTAAAAGGCCTCCACGGCTGTAGAATGTTAAAATCATAAAAAAATAACAGTCATTAATTTAATTAAATTACAAATATTCTCATCTTTGGTGATTTTAAAAAACGTCTTAATTGTCTACATATCAATTCATTGCTTAAATTAAATTATACATAAAATTAAACTAATAGTGATGTTTCAACAACAGATTAATCAAATATTAAATTGATTTAATAATCACAAAATTAAAAAGAATCCATTACGTATATAAGAACCATGAGATAATTAAAATAAGTTGATGTAAAATTTTAGCATGTACAAGGTTCTATAATGACAGATAAACCTATAGTGTGGGCATTTGACTTATAGATGGCCGATATTTAACATCAATTATATTAAATAAAGGCTGTAAAAAAAAATTAAAAAAAAATATATAAAGTTATTATATTTTCTATAAACAAAAAATTATTGTACAAATAATATTTAATTCAACATTACTTGCCTTTCTATAGTGATATAGAATTACCAAAAACCCGAGATAAAACCTAGAGAGAAGTTAAAACGTAAGTTTTAAATTTAAGCGATACCAATAAAAACTATTATTTCTACTTTTATCTATATCAAATGCCCACATCTTCGTTTCAAAGTGACGTTCGTTAAAAGCGCCATCTGCCAACTAAATTTGGCAAACTTACGTATTATAATACTGCTTAGTGACACAGCCTGAAAATACAGTTTTGAAAAGTCGTACATAAAAAGATGTAGAGAGTTATGGACACTGCCATATATAAATGAGATTAATGTGATAAATGTGAAATTATGAAATATACATCAGTCGAATCGTTTTAAACTAACACTGCAGTCTATAACCTATGAACTGATATATGGAAGAAAATTGACTAAATATGTTACCAACTAAAGAGTTACCAACACAGGCGTACCCCGGGGAGTAGGGTGGTGAGGGGGTGAGTGTCAGGGAAGAGCCACTGCTCACCTATGAATCGATCGAGAACCTAATGTTTAATGAATTTAAAACATGCTCTTTGTAAATAAAAAGTTATAAAAGGTACGGGGTCAAAATTGTATTGCTTCCCCTTCGCCTCCTAAAGCCAAAGCTGAGTACGCCCATGTTTACAAATACAGTACCTAGATCTTATTGAGAAACGTGGTCGAAGCGGGTGTTTGAATCAAAATGTTTTAGTCCAAACCACGTTCATTAATAACATAAACACACCAGTTCGACAAGTGCCGGTAGTAGCAAATTAGATGTCTTAATTTAAAAGAGAAAACATAACAACAGAGTAAAAAAAATAGTCTACTTGTACTACTCTCCCACGTCTGTCTGTAAATACTGTGTGTCATATATGTATTTCTAACAGTTGACAATTGTCAAATATATTTATAAAAAGCCTCCAGTTTCCTGCCATAGACACATGACAAGAAACAGAATACAGCACGTGCACTAGCAGCTTCCAGTTGCTAGTGCATGTTCGTCGACAAGTTTATCTGTTGATAATAAAGGTGAGTGCACACCTACGAGGCCTAACCGCAATTTGTATGAAACAGGTTAAGCGTGTAAAGAGATCAATATAATATGATTATTTCAAACCAAAATATTGTAATCATCATACACAGTTACGGTTATCGCTCGCTATAGGAAATACAAAATGACTTACAAGTGTTCTCTTTTTCACAATGCCCTAGACGTTTGATCTTTATTTATTCACGTACCTACCGAGTGAGTACCTGGTAAATAGCGTAGGAGTTAACAGCTAATTAGTACGACCGGCCTCGAACTGTGGTAAGTAAATGTATAGCTAAAAGTGTTTGTGATGAGTGTAATGGACGAATTATGAGAGCGTGTGCCTATGTATATAGCTTATAGGTCGGCGAGTAGTTCCGAGTAGTAGTGGGTAGCGCTGAGGTAGTCCAGGAGCCGTCTAGGCAGAGGCAAACTGGGGACAAGGTCTCGCCGCACGTGCTTTAGTATCACGAATCTGAAATAAGAAGCATAAAATACTATAATGTCCTCGTCAGTCCAATAAAGAGAAATCATTTTTTCAAAAATATTATTTGGGTATCTTAAACCGGTTTTGCAGCGTACGCCTCTGAAACCCAATATTATGAATATTTTTCCCATTTTTTTTATATTACTCGCTGTACCTTTGCTTGTATTAGTCAAAGGCCTTTTTACAGCCTTCCTCGATAAATGCACTAATCAACACAAAAATAATTTTTCAATTCGAACCCGTAGTTCCTCAGATAAGCGTTCAAACAAACAAGCTCTTCAGCTGTATATATTAGTATAGATATTAAAAATATGTATATATTATAATAAGTAAATATGTATATATTAGCTTTGTGTCTATATTTTGACCGCCACTGCGATTCAATGATCGAACACGTAGTGTTAAGCGCGAGAGGATGTAGGCTCAAATCCAGAACAAACGATAATAGTTCCCGACTGGCGTGGTACACAAGTCCGATTGATTACTTGTTAGTAAAATAAAAAATACATAGTGGGTCCACGGCCTACACGGGGAAGTTAGGATTCTGGGGTAATATGAAAGTAGTTTTTCAAAATTCAAACTATACTGTTAAATTTAAATAAAACACTTTAACGGTGTAAAACGCGAAATATATTCGTTAAACTTATTTCAAGATTATTTTAACTACCATCGGTCGTTTAACTAATATATTTCTCGTTTTAAAACGTTAAGTGTTTCATTTCAATGTGTACTAATCGCGTAAACTGAACGTAAACAGTTGTTACTTTTTTTGAGAATGTGCCAAACTTTATTTTTTTTTTGTTTTGCAATCCCGTTTCCCCCTCGTGGGGCATGGGGCGAACACATTTTTGTGTCCGTTTCACTGATCCATTTTTTATTACGCAAGGAGTTGATCAGACTTCTGTGCCCTGCCCGACCGAAACAATCTTTTGTTTCCCTGGGATTCGAACCCAGAACCTCTCGCGCTTAGTGCAATCCTTAGCAATACGGTTAACCATTTGGCTACATAGGCGGTCAAAAAACTTTCATTACGCATATAAAATTATGACCACGACAGTCAACTAACCTGCACATATGTTGTAAGCTCTGAACTCGCTTGAACCTCGACACCGGGTACAGTAGCTGAACCCTAACTGGCCCAAGAACTGGCCGAAGGTTCAAGAAGAACAGGTACCGACCGCTCCTAGACGTCTCCACTGCGTTCTCAATAAACTCGACTATCGTTTGCGCTTTGAACATCGTGCAACCGCCGAATGAAAAATTACCTGGAATATTGGGAAATTACTCATTATATTATTAAGGAAAAAATCAATTACACAGGCGGGAAATCGAACCCGTGACAGAGATGTTATCGCGTCATGATACGCTTTTGCCTGCGTACTTTCAAAATTTCAATCGGGTTGAATATTTTACCAAAATAAAATTCAATTTTCGATATTTTAAAACATCACAGTATATTTTATAATATTGTATAGCTTTTACTAATATATGTAATAAAACTAGTAAAGTGACGTGTCAAAGACGAACTCAGATAGGCTCGCTAAAGTTGATTAAAATTTAAAACAATTTCAATAAAAAGCCGCTATCAACAAAATACGGCTGCTGCCAAGCATCACACGTATAACACCTTCCACTAATTGAGCGCTTGCCTGTCTTCTGTCACAAGCATAAAGATAAACGTAGATATTACTGAAGTACAAATGCACAAAGGTACAAATCCGGTAAAAAACCCCGCTCGCTAATCCCACTCCGATTCCCATTTGCGATTTCGTTTGAAAGGAGATTAAATCCGTTAACTAAAATACTGCATTATGTGCTTTTGTTTATATCTTGTACATATTTTTTAGATACACGATTGCCAGACAGTTGATGTTACCACCTGTGACAAGAACGGGGGGAGCTCAAAAAATCATGAAATTCGTGTGACGTACTTTATGGATGACCCCTTATCTATCTTATGAATCTAAACAAGATGACGACATTTTTGGCTTTGGATATTCGGAAATCCACAAACTGAAACGCGATTAAACGTCACGTTTCTTTCATCCGTAGACATTGGTTGGTTCCCGGATGGAAATTCAATATCCCTACCACCCTTTTAATATCGAGATTTTCAGAAGTAAAACATGACTAAAAATTATAAATCGATTTGAAACATGTTAAACCCCGTGGGAATTGAACTCGCGAGCCGTACGTTGCTATCATAACACCAACGACCCCGCCAATCTACATATATTGAAATCCATCTAGCCACGCAATTAACAAATACAAAACGTGGTTAAAAGCCACGAAGAGAATGAAAATCGACGACAAATGAACAAAGAGGAATTATAATATAAGCCAAGTCCCGGAGTATTAGTTCAATTAGTTCTTCGTAAGACGGCCCTTATACCAAGAATAACATTGTAATATGAAATGGCGAAGGATTTCCCTCTTAACTTCGTTACGCCAGTGGATGCATAATAAAATCTAGCTTGCATTCTGGAGACATTTTCATATAATAAATTGTTTATTGTACCTTCAGATTGAGGAAAAAATGAGGCTTTTCAAGATTGTAGGAAATCTAGTTATTTTTTTAATTATTATCATTACTAAATTAAAGAATTGTTATTACTAGAACAATAACAGCTAGTAACAAACTAGATATATATGTTATTTCTTCTCCTTGTACTGGTGGGTAACCTACTAATATTTAAATAAAATACTTTAACGGTTTAAAACGCGATATAATTTAGTTAAACTTTGAATATTATTTTTTAACTAAATCAAGTAATTTTCAATCAAGTTTAATGAAAATATATCGCGTTTTAAACCGTTAAAGTGTTTTATTTAAATGTGTACTACTCGCGTAAACTACAGACAGTATTCAACCTACTAAAAAATACTGAATACTATGACTAGCTTCTGTTTTGAATTTATACTTATAACTCCGCCTCTATAGTTCATTTGTTAAACGAGCATTGAGCTCGATAGGTTCGAATCCCGGGGAGTAATAATTCGGTCGAGCGAGTTTGGTCGTTCTGCGGTTGAGTAAAACGGACACAAAAGTGCCCCTAATGCATACGTAGATAATGCGTGAGGGGCTATAAGTAACGATATGTTTTTTGTGCTTTAGGTAATTTCTTCTTGTTCTTCTTACTAACCCTGATCATGTTCTATCCTAACATGGCGTAACCCGTTCAGCTTGAAGGTGAGCGTGAAGATGTAGTGGTCGTCGCTGCTATCGCGAACAATAAATGATCCATCCGGCTCGTTTGATAGTATCTTCTCCGCCGCCTCTACCGTTATGGGACCCCAGTACCAGCCGTACTGAAATTCAAGGCAATATCATCTCTATACGATCTAGGAGGCAGTTAATATGCCGCGTCGAAATAAATATAGGTTTATACATATTAAATTGACCGATTCATATAAAATTTTAAATCTATAATAATATACATAGCTGAAGAGTTTGTTTGAACGCACTAATGTCAGGAACCGATGGTTCGAGTTAAAAAAATATTTTTGCGTTGATCAGAGCGAGGAAAGCTTATAGGCTATAAAACATTGCGCTGCGACTAATAAGAGCGAAGATACAGCGTTCAATATGAAAAAAAAAACGGGGAAATTCATACGTCCTTGTGGGGTTCCGTTGAGTACAGTTGAAGACGTGTCTATCGTTTAAGATTAACTAGCAAGATTAATTGGTATCGGACGAAGTCGTGGGTAATAGTTTAAATTTATAGAGTTGAACAGAAGGTTAGCAAAAACAAATTTTGATGCCCAAAATAACTGTTCTACGCGGACGAAGTCGCTGGCACAGCTAGTTCAAGTAAATCTGTTTAGGTTCTGCCCTCTATTGATCTTATTTACTTATTATTCATTATTGATTAGCTGTGCCAGCGACTTAGTCCGCGCCCCGTCGTTCTTGTAAATGAATTGTAAAATATAGATATAATATAGTGACGCGGACGTTTTTTTTAGAACATTTAAAAAGAAATGGATATGTCATACATATATTTTCTCTAGCCGTTTCAGAGAATCATTCGTGCGCGCGTCCGACTCGCACTTTTCCGAAAATAAAAGTGGCCTATGTTACTCCCTATTACATCAGCTATCTGACCGTAAAAGTTCCGTGAATAGCCGTTTCTGAGATTAGCCGGAACAAACAGACCGACAGACAGACAAAAAACTTTTAATGTTGTTTTAGTATGTGTACCGTTGTATACATCCATATGCATTTAGTAAAAAGCGGTTCTTTTAATGTTACAAACAGACACTCCAATTTTATTTATTTGTATAGATAAATAAGTCGAGAAACAGATAAGAATAGTAGTAGAGACGACGTCACAACTGTGTACGTACTGAATACTGTAGATAGTAGTTCTAGTTTACGATCGCCACAGTTCGATTTTCAATACGTACTTAATTACACAAAAGTGGAGCATAAAATAAAATGCAGGTATAGTACACGTCCTGAGTCTAGCGAGTGAGCAGTAAGCTTATAATCTACGATTCTCATTAAAATAACCTTTCGCTATGGAATTTTATTTCCCGCAAATGCGTAATCCGATTCAATTATTTTAAATCCTTCACATTCATAATAGAATGAATATCGTACTTAAATAAGGTATTGGAATTACGTTGACTCTGAAAGTATATATGCCGATATTTTCTCTAGACTATTCTATTATTAGTATAAGTGTCAGTTTAAAGTATTGAAAGAAAAGAGAGGCACTCACATCTTTGACCTTCTGTATGGAGGTCGCGAAGTCCATAACCGTGTCGTCCTCGTTTGCAGACCGCCGCGAGTTGGACGGGTGCGGCGAGTGAGGCAGCGGTGGCAAGGCCCTCCGCACCGCCGGCTGCCGCGGCGGCGAGTCTCTGCCCACCCGCTCCACACTGTCCCCATCGCTCGACCTCCTCCACCGGAACAGGTTGCAAAAACTCTGCTTCAAATTCATCGACAGTATCCTAACTGGTGACATTTTCACCTTGCTACCCTGATTGCCTTTCTTCTTCACCCCCTCCACTTCCATTATATCCCGCTGCGCGTTCTCTTTGTGCTTCTTACTCTTCACGTTCATGTCGGCGGTGTTCTTGTTGGCTTTCTTGTGATTATTGTTCGTTTCGACAGTCTTTGTTTCGTTGCTTTCTTTGAGAAAGACGGCGGTGCTCGTCTCCTTGACGCCAGGTCTTGTATGCACGCCGACGTTTGTCAGCAGGGCGTTGTTCTTCTTGCTGATCGTGTTCCTGCACTCAGAGTCGCTCGAACTTGAATACAAGGTGTGCAGGTACTTCCTCATCTCGCGCAGGGTTAAATGCAGCGAGTCCGTGTCTGATTCGGTCGTGGTCTTCTTTCTACATGAGGAGCCGGGCAGAGAGTGGCGTTTCGTCTTCGTGTCTTTGTGTCGCGTGTCCTTAGGCTTATAACGTTCGGTGGGTGTGTTGGTGAAGTTAAGAGTCGTAGTCTTGGTGCGCCTTTTGTTTGGCCGTTGAGGTCTCTTACCTTTACCTCGGTTAGAGTGGTTAGGGCGGATCATGTCTATGGGCACCGCGTATATATCGCTGTCGAAGGGAACGTTATACATATCGGTGATGTCAGAAGTCTTAGCTGAAAGAGTGTCATGTGAGATAGCTTGCGTTATAAAACTAGAGTCGTCAGCTTGGAACTGAGTCACGAGCGAATTGTGACTACTGGACAGGCGAGAGGAGAGGGAGTTTCTAGAAGAAGGCCTGGTGCCACGACACGGACTGAGATGGAGGAGCCGTGGACTCGCGAAACGGTGGTTAAGGCATTGTCTTCGCTCGTAGAGTGTTTCCGGCTTCAGTTTCCTAGGGTACATAGGTGAGACGTGACCGGCCATCAACGGTATATTTAAGCTCGACGATTTTGGTTTTGTTACATTATCATTGGTACAAATTATAGGTGGAGGCACACACACAGCCATACATTGCTTCTGGGTCCCAACAAATGTAGTTATGCATTCTGCGTTTATTGGGACCGGGTTATCCTGAAATTAAAAAAGGGAATAAATAAAACACATAATTAAATCCCGATCACATTAAAAGCATAAAACCTAACGCAACGGGAATCGTTAAAATGCTAAATTAGCAGTGACTTTTGGATACTCTGTTATAAATGTAGAAAGGAATAGAGCCATTTTCATTATAGAGTTATCAAACGTTTCGAACTAACAGCTTTCAATTGTTTTGATGCACGTAAAGTAATTTCAATCAATACCTGCACTGAAGCCGGTACGACATAAATGTAATATATCGAATTATTATTTTTAAATCGTTTCTGAGATTAAAACGTTCAAAGGGATTAAATCCTTGCCGGATAATGATATATATTAATACTTGAAGAGAAAATGTTTTAATCGTATTTACGATGGCCAGGCTGTATAAATCCTGTATAAGAGTATGAAACGTTGTACTTTACATGGAATATGGATGGAAGTGTAGTTTCATTACAAACTAAAAGTGATCAAGTGCGAGTCGGATTTTCACACAAAGGGCTCCGTACTACTGACTAGGAGTAAAAAGTTCTATATCATTATTCAGTGATTTGAATTGCCTATCCGTTACAATTTATAGGTTTTAAGCTAGAAACAGTAATGATTTTTTTACGTATAAGAGCCGACTAAAATAATATTGAATATTGTTTATATTACATGATAAAGCAGTAGAAGATTTCACATTTTAAACTCTAATGGGATTTAAATAAAACACTTTAACGGTTTAAAACGGTTGATACATGAGTTATTTAAAATAATATGTATAAATAAAATGATTTTAACTACGGCTTGACGTTTCGGGTGAATCTAATGGGATGATATTAAAAGAAAACATATTATACTAACTGTTCCCGTACACAGGGAGCACAAAAATTCTCTATCCATCACGATCGGATTTATTATGTAATGTAACTTTGTGTCCTGCTCGACCGTTACAACTCATTTTTTGTTTAGGATTCGAACGCTTAGCAACCATTGAGCTGGTGGCGGTAAAGAAAGATACACATTGCAGAAAATCCCCGTTATCATAATAAAATGTGGATGCACGTGCGACAAACAATGGCGGTGCGAGTACAATTTACATCCCATAAGCTTCTTGGAATACACGTCCACACTGCGAAATATGAACTGCAAAGCGGGACCAAAATAATATTTGAAACAAGAGTGGGCTGTATCGCCTATTGGAGCGAGCGTAACAATCGGCTTCAACGTTATCAGCCCTTCCCACTGCTGGGACTATTCTATCCAACTTCGGCTTTTAATCCGCCGCACACAAGTGCCACTTTGCAGATATAACATTTTTGTTGACAGGACATAAATGTTATGTAAAGTGTGTTTGTTTATCAGTCCTTTCTACGCAGATAACTATATAGAGATGTTGAGTATTTTTTTTAATTAAACTTATTTAACCCCACTATTCAAAATATATGAGATCGAACAAACTGTAGTGGCCCCTCTGTAAAAGCAGTACAAAAAAAAACATTTGTTCCTCGTTCAGTCAATTTTAACATTAATGCGATTTCGTATTACAAATTAAAAATATTTATTTTTGATAACAGTCAACAACCCTATTATCTGTCTTTAGTAGTGAAAGTATTTGAGGTATGGGGCATTATTTATGTGCTTTACTTTCTTTTTGATTACAAGCTCATTACTGATCATGTCCATCGTACTTCGGTGATTTACCTTCTGTGTCCTAAAGCGAAACAATTTGTTATCTGAGGAGAAGAATCCAGAAAGTTTGTGCTTTATTAGATACGCCTTTTTTTAGCCAGAGAGTTAGGAGACTTCAAACATATATTTTGATATGAATACTTAATTAAACAATTTTTTCGATGGGACTGCGGACACGATAGCTCTATTGGTTAGAGCAGCAGCACGGAAAGCCGTGGATGCCGACTCAAGTCCCGCCTGTGACGTAATATTTTTTTCACTTTAAATAGACTTTTATTTTATGTAATCAAATATTATTGGTTAATTATTTTTTATATATTATATATAGTATTAAATGTTAATTGTATTTTATTGTACATGTACCATGCGTTAAATACCGATTTACAATAAAAATTTAATTACATCAAAACTATTGAAACATTGGTTAAAAGAAATAGCTAACCACAGAAACAAAAGGATTTAAATATCATTTTACATTATTAACCCACTCGAATATAGTTAATCCATTCGAAACTCATATAGCCGAAACTTACATGAATTATCTCCAATAAATTAGCTTCAATTCAATTTATCACCAGTAACTGCGGGTAAAATTTCAAAGGTAATCGGGCAATTTATAACAAAGCTATCAATCAACTATTTAGCTCACGTAAAACAAAGTTGACACCTGGAGCTCAATTTGCAAAACGCGTAACCGTCATCGGATCAGATCCCGGGAACGAAAAAGAAACGTAGCGCACGAATTCCTTCTCGTATTTTAGTCTTTACTAAAAAGCGAAGTAGACTATGCAAATCATGAATGAAATGTCAAAGTAAGTAAAGAAGAAAAGTCACGTAAGACCCAATAATGTAATAAGTGTGTAAAAAAACAAACACACATAGACATACATGTTTATGTCTATGTGTGTATTCTGTGAAATTCTGGAAACAAATTTACGTATGTAACGTCGTGTATAATTACTATTTGAATTGAAGCCTAAATAAAACTGTCGGACGTTCTGGATGTACACAATAGGCTAACGGCTAAATAATTAAATTTTTCACAAAACCTTTTGATACGGAGAATTCGAAAAATCCCAATAACGTGTAACAAATTTTACGATGTATTGAAATACTATTTTGAAGAGAGATGAAAAAAAAACAGTACACAAACGAGATTCGAATGTGCTTAAAAGATTTTTAATATTCTATAATTCATACAGGTAACCTGGAGAATTTTGTTCCGCCTTTTAGCAGACTGTAAGTACTAACAAGACGTTCTTTTTTTAATTTCTTATCTAACTAAACTAGAGTACCTATACCACGAAGATCTACTGTCTTGTCCTTACGTAAGTGCAAGCCTATCTTAATGCAGGGTACCAATATCAGCTCATCTAATTTATTACGATGCATTACTCCAATTAGGAGGACCACGTTGTTGGAGGCTACAGATTAATAACACCATTTGAGTAATATATTTAATTTACAATTTAGACTGAGAGTTGCTTAGCACTTTTTCTAGTTTGTGCCGCATCCTTAATCCTTTAAAGATTTGAAGTAACGGTACTTATGCTAATTCTTATTAATTCGAACCCAAGTTACATACTCTCACATATCTATATTAATACGAGTATAAAAAGCTGAAGAGTTTGTTTGTTTGAACGCGATAACCTCAGGAACTACTGGTTTGGATTAAAAAAATTTTTTTGCGTCGGTTAGAGCATTTATCGAGGCTATAAAACATCGCGCGGTGACTAGAGAGAGGAATGTGGAAAAAACGAGGAAAATTATTCATATTTGTGAGTTTCCACTGCGAAAACGATTCAAGATACAAAAAAAATATGTATGAAAAAATGCACTTACTTTGCTTACTACTTCTTTAAATCATTAAAAAAAATATCCGCGACACTATCTTTCTTTCTTATCTTGTCTATCTTTTAAGGTTAACTTGCAAGAACAATGGAACGTGGAATGGACGTCACGGGTAACAGCCTAAATTTATTAAGATGAAGAGGATGTTTCCAAAAATAAGTTTAGTTTCCTAAAATAACTATTCTACGCGAATGATGTAAGATGTCTTTAAAATTACGTTTGGACGTGTTTGAAATCCTATTCCTTTATGGGGCGTGAAGCCGATATATCGGTTTCCGTTACACCGTTTTACTGCTGCTGAGTCCATACCCGATTCAGTAATCGGGTATGGACTCAGCAGCTACGGCAGGACCTACAAGACCTACCTTAATAGTATTTACAACTTACAGATCAAAATATTAAAGACGATAGCACCGAGGGTCTATAAAAAAATGCAATAGTAAACATGAGTTATTTGAAAAATGCAAAGTAATGCATATCTTCAACAAATTTAACTTTTTTTATTTATGCGAAGAAATAGGTCATATCCAAGAATTAGAAGTTAAAAAAAGACCAGATAATTTAAGACCCCTCCATTATTTGCCTAGATATGTTCTGCCCCCTTTTAACAATGCTTACGGAAAGCGCACACGAACTTATCTATTGCCCTTGCTTCTGAACGAGTTAGATGAACACACGTACAGTAAACTAGTAAAATCCGGGAAGAAGCAAGACAATTCTTAAGCCGTTTTATGCTAGGTAGTTAAAAAAACAAACTGATCGACGTATTTATAAACACACATTAAATCAAATATCCGCGACCTGCCCGAAGCTATTCTATTAGTATGTTTCAACCGGGTAAATATTGAAAAAAGTTCACGCGATAAAATAAACCCGGCTGGGCGTATCGAGGTATTTTCCGTGTTGCAAACCTCCCTGTAGAATTGTCTTTGTTGTACGATGGAGAGAATTTGCGTACTTGTTGCGTTCCAATGATATACCAATTGCGATCAGTTAATACGATGGTATCCTTATTAATATGTTATTATGTAGATTCAACATATAAAAAACTTAATACTACTAGCTTAATCCTCACTTAATTAATAATACTAGCTTAATCCTCACTTATTCCACCTCATTTATTCCACATATTCTTAAGAGAAACTCTTTGATCGTTTTTTACGACTTGTCGCCAAATGCTGAATTCTGAGAGTACGTACGTGAAAAGTCTACCAGACATTTAAATAAAACATTTTAACGGTATAAATCGCGATATATATTAGTGAAACTCATTTTTAACTTCGGCCCGACGTTTCGGATGCTTTGCAGCAGCCGTGGTCACGGGGAGAAGGTGTGTAAAGTGTTTTACTTGAATGTGTACTACTCGCGTAAACTACAGACAGTATCTATCAGACATTCCATGTTTCGTGAGCAAGAACGAGTAAAGAGGGATGATTTTGTTGGACAATTTGTAGTAAATGTTACATTGT